AAAATACCACCACCCCAAGAGTGCTTTCCCATCAGGCAATTGGAGGACGGGAGAGGAACGGAGAGATGTGAGCACACTCCTGAAATCTAGCTCATCCCCAAAGAGGAAAAAAAAAGATAGAGGTCTAGAAAATAATTCATTTCTTTTCCTTTTCCTTTCTTTCTTTCTACATATCCCTTATTTCCGGGCTCACCTACCAGACAATACCCGTCCAATCAGAAAAATGTATTTACTCTTACGCACGCGCACAGAGAGAGTGCAACGGCAAAGGAAGAGAAGACCCCTGGATCTTATTATGCAAACAGTAGTCATCCATCACACAGGTGTTCCCTATTGCTTTTAATTAATGACGTCTCTGTGCAAGCGTCTGCACACCACACACACGCTTTCACACCCACACACCGCTACGCAAACCGAAATCCACTCACCTGTACACTATGTGGCCTTATTATTCGTTACTAATGAACGGATCTGATCACTGTGTCTGTGTAACTGGTACGATGATCACTGAACCTGTGTGTGAGGGTCTATTTTGTGTGAGCCTGCACGCAAACACACATCCCAGACGTAGCTGACAGACGTAGCGGCAGCCCAAACGTCCATGATAGATGGGCTGTACACACACGCACACACACACACAAGCGGGCCATGCGCCTTGTGATAGTGAGTGAGTAATACTCTCCTTTGTGCACATATTCATAAATGTAAATGTTGTTGTCCTAAGTGGGGCTGGGAGACAGATAGGTTTGTGTTGCTGTCAAGGGGATGGTTGATTGGCCTGCTTAATCCTCTCGTCTGTGTCTATGTTTCCCTCCCTCCCTCCCTCTCTCTCTCTCTCTCTCTCTCTCTCTCTCTCTCTCTCTCTCTATGTCTCTCTCTCTCTCTCCCTCTCCCTCTCTCTCTCTCTCTCTCTCTCTCTATGTCCCTCTCTCACTCACTGATGCACCCACATAAACCAGGCCTGTGTTAGGGTGTCTACTATGAGAACTCAGTGTGTAGATCAGGGCACCAGCCAAGCATTATTATCATTATTATGATGACCCTCCCCCCTTTTGCTCCATTATTATTCAACACAAAATCCATCTGTATTCTTCCTGACTTCCTCTCTCCTCTAACCAGTCCCATAGTATTTCTCTCTCACTGTCTCTCTCTTCTCATATTCTTGCATTATTTCTCTCCCGCCCTGCGTGACGTGTTCTCTGCACACTCAGACGAGCTGGATGAATATAAAACAAGTTCCACCTCGGCATCGATTACCACACATATGCATGTGCATTTATATAAGGAGCAAATTCTGCTTGCGATAGCTGGCTTCATTCCAGTGGCATGTGTTGAGGTGACAGTGTCATTGATACAGATACACAAATGCAAACAAACACACATGCAAAGCTGTTGTCTAAAACCGCTCATGTGTTTGTCTATTTGCAACCTCATCGCTTCTGAAATATACAACTGATAAATTAAGAGATATCACCAGATATCTATTATGCAAACCAGTTAACTGCTGCATTATTAGATTACACACGTACACATGTATGCTCATGCAAACCCTTGTGCGCACACACACTCACACTCACAGCGGTGGTTAATTGCCAGGTGGTGGAAGATAATGTGTGATTTAACGGACTGATGGATTTGTTTTTGTTTCGGTCACCCATCAATGAACAGAGACATCTGTAACAGGGCAAACACACACATACACTAGTTCTCCCACACACACAAAACGCACACCATTATACACACATTCATGCCCAGGGATATCAGTGACAAGTGACTGATAGGCAGTGGTAACAGCCTTTGTGCAAGACGCAAACGCAGGAAATGATCCATCTTCCCGAAGTCGAAAAAAGTACACAGCCGGGACGTGTGTGTGTTTGTGTGTACTCATATAGATATATGGGAGCGTGCTAGCATGTGCAAATGTACAGTTATAAGCATGCACTCACGTGTTTGTGCGTCTGTGTGTGTGTGTGTGTGTGTGTGTGTGTGTGTGTGTGTGTGTGTGTGTGTGTGTGTGTGTGTGTGAAGGAGTTAATCCTTGGTAACAGTCTCAGCCTGTCTCTTGTGGTTGATGAGTGGCTCGGGGTCAGAAGCTGGTTGAGAAACTGCAGGGTCCTCAGGCTTTACAATGTGTTTACCACTCAAACTGACAGCTATACTACAGCTTATTATTGGCCTTCTAAACCTCCACACTGCACTGTGAGTTAGAGAAACTCCAGAGAGGCCGATTGCCAACGGCTAGAGACACGCCAGCCAACCCTACAAATGTTGGATGTTGTGGTGTTGAGTGCAGAGATTAAAATAAATGCAGCAAATGGGATCTGTGCCGTTGAAAATGGCTCAGAAGTGTATCAAAAAGTAGATTAGACAGGTTATCCTGGAGTTTATCTGTCTTTTGTGTCCCACTGGCCATGCCCCCTTTGTATCCTAATTCAATAAGTAGGCTGAATTGAAAAACTTATCCCCACTCACTGCTCCTACATTGTCATTGTGTATGTGTGCAGTGAGAAAGAGAGGAAGAGAGAGAGATGGGAAGATCAGGGATGAGGCAGGTCCACTGAGATGCACTGTTCTTTAATTAACCACAGTCTTTTATAAAGAACACACACACACACACACACACACACACACACACACACACACACACACACACACACACACACACACACACACACACACACACTCTAAGACTCACACTGCAGGGGCTAAGAATATTCTGCCACTGGGATGAAAACCGTATTGGCAGTGAACGTGTGGAGAAAGAGAGGAGAGACTGCGGGGCTCTGCAGTACTCAGGTCTTGGACAGTCAGGTTAAAGGTTAGACTGCTCCAGACTGCTTTAGTCCTCCCACTGCTTTGTCTAAGAAAAATCAACCGCAGCTTCCTTTTTTTTTTTTTTTTTACTTTACAGCAAATAGTCTGAATATACAGCAAAAAGCAGATGGCTTATTAGTTAATTAAGTATACATTTGATTTTACCAAGGTTAAAACTGCTCATGTTAAGTTGAGCTGATTGTACCGAGGTCCCGGGGTTCACTTCTTCCTGTTCCCTTTATGCCTTCAAGCTCTTTTTCCACGTTTTATCTAAATCAACTTCTGTCTCTGATATGAAAACTGAAGGTGGAATTTTATTAGCATTTATTATGAAATTATTACAGAGCAAAAAAGTAGAGAAATTGAAAATGAGCACCCTCCACGTTGAGAGTTGTAGAAAAATATCAGCTAAAATGCATTAGCAGCAAATGTGCACGCAAGATTAGTTTTTCTAAAATGTGCGGAAACAATTTTCTAACATTCAGGAAAACTAATATTGTTTACAGTATCGTACCAGAACCAATAACCTTATGTTTTCTGCTCCTATTACTTCACACAGTACTTCATGTATACTAATTCTGTTGTGAGGCATAAATTCACTTGGCTCTCATGGTTTTATTTCAGGCCGTACACTAAAATCATTGGCCTAGAGTTATCGTCCGCAGACAGAATCATTGATCCCCGCCTGCAAAAACAACACAGTATTTTCAGAGTTTTCATATTGTTTTACGCCTTTAATAAGCACAGTCGTAAAATGTGAGTCGCTGTATATCTGACTGCTCATCTTAGGAGCCCAGTAGATTCTGCTGAAGAGGTAAATAAGACAAACTAAGGGGTTTTGTGGGACGCCTGGTAGCTGAAATATAGCTTCCACATAGACAGGATCCACTGCAAGATGGAGAGTGAAAAGGAAGGTGTGTGTTAGTGTGTGACATGCGCTGTTGTGCACCTCCGAGACCCAAAATTAAGGCTGAGGAAATCTATATACACAAGATAACACAACCTGCTGAATTGCTCACAAAAAAGGAAAAACTTAGCCAATATTTCATGTGAAATCTGGCATTCAGTGGCAAATTAACCCCATTTTATCTACACATTTTGAGAGGGAGAAAGGGTGCCTGTGAATTTAAATGAAATGCTTCAACACGCCATAAAATTACAAGATTTGTCTGTGAATTGTAGGAAGAGAGATAAGCCTACAGTGTGTTGCTACATTCTTAAGGATCCAGCAGCAGAGCCATGGACTCACGAGGACAGTATCAAAAAGGCAGCTTTCAAAAAAGAGCGAGAGAAAGCGAGAGAGAGAAAAAAAAAAGAAGCTTTTTCACTTGAATCAAGATAGGGACGAGGAGTGAGGGATTAGGAGGATAACAAAAAGGCCAACGGACTGAGTGTAAACAAGAAAGGGGGTTAGAGAGGGATAGAAGGAGAGAGCAAGTTGGAGAGGGAGCGAGAGGGAGAGATTGAATAGTGACACTGCTACAACACAATGGGGTCAGGATGAAGAAGTACTCCTAATTGAACCAGATAGAGGAGAAGACAGAGAAAGAGCCCTGAAAGACTTAAAGAGGAGAGCCACATGACGGAGAGAGAGCAGGAGAGGAAGGCGAGAGAATCACATCTCCTCGGCCATGTGTGGCCAAAGGTGGAGGAGAAGGGGGGAGAAAATGAGGGAAGTAACTCAATAAATAGTCAAATGCACAGATTGACGTTGGACTGGGGGACAGAAACTAAATATGTCTGACCAGTTGTGCAAGTGAAGGTGTTGAAAAGATGATTTGAAGCCACCTTGACTTCACTGCAGGGGTCCGACAGAGCAGTTTGAGACTCAAAAATAGCTTTACCATACAGAGAAACACGAGAGGCCTGTTTAAATACTTTTTGTGGATCCAAATAATTTCTACCTCTTAAAAGGGAAAGACAGATCAACGGACAAAAGGAAAGGTGGCTGCTAGAACCCTGATAAAGCACGAGAGACAAAATCAAGCAAAGCTTAGAACAGCAGTAACCCACAGAAGGACTCATGGTGTGATGGTGTGAACCTGACAACCTATGGAGTGCAAATCAGGACATTCCCCTTGCCTATACCAGGTGGAGAATATAGAGATCAAAAGAAATGGCATAGTGAACACACACACACACACACACACACACACACTGAAATACATGAGGAGTGAGGGTCTTACTGTATGTTGGAGCTGTTCCAGTAAACGGAATGCCTGTTGGCTGACACCTGGAGCACGTCCGCCCAGGTGAGACTCGTTAGCACCCAGAGAGACAGCGCTACCAGAGCCATGCTCCCGGCTCCTCTCTCGGCCTCCGTCCCTTCGGTCTCTCCGGCCACTCTCTCGGTTCCCTTCACCCCACCAAACAACGCGACTCAAACATCCCAGCAAATGCCTAACAGACGGGAGAGGGGGGAGACAAAAAGCTTCATGCATGCACACAAAACCGGATACGTTCAAAGACTGTAAGACTTGCTCTGGTTAATAACTGTTGTAAAACTCAAAGTCTATTGTGGTGTGAAGTGACTGAGCCCCCTCCTCCTCTTTCTCCTCCTCCCCCCATAAAGCAGAAAACTGCTCCCTCCCTCCCTCCCCTCCCCAACAATTCCAGGGGCTTCAAGCAAAAAGGTGGTGGGCGGGGGGGGTTCTGTGGAAGTCCTTATGAGCGGGTCCCCCTTTTCTATGACTGCGCCCGGTCCTCTCTTCTCACCGGGAACTGCTGCTTCTGAGCCCGTCAGAGGAGTGTGGGAGGCCGGTATTGGGTCCAAGCGGGAGGTCGGTCTACCTCCGGGCATGAAACGGTCCTGTCCGCTGGGAAAGAGTTGTCTGCTGCTGGCGTTAATAAAAGGCTTACAAAAGGGTGGTGGGGAAAAAAAAAAGGCGGTGGTAAAATGATATCTTCTTTTATAAACTGTTCTTGTTATATGCCTGCTGCTGCAGTTTCTTTTTTTTTTTTAAATATATATTTCTTCTCCTCCTTCCAAAAAAGGATCCGGGAGATGCAAAGCACGCCGGGCTCTGCTGAGCTCTTGTGATCGCTGCAAAACAATTCAACCAGCCAGTTTCATTAGGTCTTCAAGACTCTATCCGACAACCATCGTTTACGGTGAGCAGCCTGCCCACCCGTCTCTCTCCTTTCTCTTTCTCTCCTCCTTCTCCCTCTCTCTGTTTGGTAGGCAGCGCTCGTTCACTTTCTAACTCCACCCCCTGCGAGCGACAAAAGCGCATTCCTCCAACACTGTGGCCGAGTCGGAGCACATCAGGCATCACTGCGACTTCAAGTTTTTTTTGTGTGTGTCAACTATTCGACCTCCACCGCCGCTGTAAAAGTAGAGAGCCGTGAATCCCCCCCTCTCTGCCAGATACGTCTGCATCCACCATCTGCAGTCTATTTTTCACCCCCCCTCCACGCGCACACACACACACACACACACACACACACTTACGCACCTTCCTCTCCATCCATACACACGCACTCTTGTGCACATACATTTTTATTGCAAAGGCTGAAAAAACACCCACACGCATGCACATACACTCCAGCCCCCCCTCCTGGCTTGGACCCTCCCCAGACACTGTAAGTCAGTCTAATACAGCACTATTATCATGTACAATCCTCTTATAGCTGCAGCACGTTAACAGGCATGCTCTCCTCTGTATGTTATACTGTGTATATTATGTTCACAGTGATGTTATGGTGAGATGACTTTAAGAGTGGATGAGACAGAATGGCTTAAGTGACTTATTAAATGTCAGATCCAACGTGTATTAAGTCAATTAAGTTACAATATATTTACAGATCTTTTCATTTAAGTGTGTTCCTGTAGCTCTGTCCTGCAGAGACATGGTAAAGTGTTTGCCCCCGTCACCTTCACTGCCACTAACTGTGCATCTAAGGTGTGTTTGTGTGTGTGTGTGTGTGTGTGTGTGTGAGTGAGAGAGAGAGAGAGAGAGAGAAGAACAGGCCAGACAGGGGAAGAGACAGGAGGAGGGAGTGAGAAAAAGAGAGAGATAGCAGATAGGAGAAGGATTGTTACAGTTTTCTTGCCGCCTGCTGGGAATGAGTTGGTTAAGGAGAAGTCAGAATGATTTATTGGGAGAAAAAAGGAGGGAAATAGGGAGAAGGAGAGCAAGAAAGAGAGAGAGATGAGATGCCATCAGGGAATCCCCTCTGTCTTCTCCAGTCCTTCCACCCCTCTCATGAGCTGTCCATTTAATCCCCCCTCTGCCTGTCTCCCCCCCTCTCTCTCTCTCTCTCTCTCTCTCTCTCTCTCTCTCTCTCTCTCTCTCTCTTCTTCTTCCTCTTCCTCCTCACCTTATTCTCCCATTTCCAATGCAAACTTTCTCCACTCTGCGATCCTAGAAACCTGGCTCGGCTATTTTGCCTCTGACTTTTGTTAGGTTTGTCTCTGGTGGTCTACTTGTCTCCTCTGCCTGTGCCTCTCTCTCCATCTCTCTCCGTTACAGCAGGCATGCAACTTTTTAATGAGCACTCCTCCTTTGCCTCCTCTCTGTGCTCCTCTGTCTATCATTTCTCCTCAGCCTCTCCATGTTGTATCTCTGTTTATCGCTGCATTGTGTAGTATCACAGCGGCAGTCAAACACCTGGCACAATAAATTATACATGCCCAGATGCATGTACATTTAAACATACATTCACTTTCCCTCTTTCTGCCCTTGAAGGGTCGGTTCACCCACACTATAAAAATAAATATTTTATGATTAAGCTATCCACGCAGATAGTTTTTGGTTTGTTTTGTTCGGGTTTTGCGATATCTGCCTCTGAAATTTCTGTTGCCATCCCACTACAGTGCCATAAATGGAATTTCACTGGTAGCATTGAAAACATAAATTAAAGATTAGTTAGACATTTTGGTAGTTAGGTGAGAAGATTGTAAAACTACAACATGTTTGTTTTTTTTAGATTAAACAAATTAGATATGACATGTCAATTAGCTACAGAGTTGCTAGTAGGACAATTATGTTACCATTAGACACGGCCAGGCTAGCTGTTTCGACTTTCTGTCACATAAAAACATCTGTACTTAGACACATGAGCAAGTTCCATACACATGAAGAAGGCCATGGTAAATGGTCAAGAATAGGCTAGAAAAGTGAGGATATTTTATCATACCTATAAAAACAGTCAGTAATGCTTTCAATGGATTGTCCAGACCCTATATGCACGCTACGCAAACTGCTTAGAGAGGATAAACAGAACTGTCCGTTACAAAAAGAGAAAAAAAACACCATGAGAGTGAATTGTGGTAAGTCTGATGTCAGTAAATAACAGTAACGTTAAGCTGATGTGCAGTTTGCAGTGAATCTCTCTCCACTCTGTCTCTCTCACTAACAGCTGACGGTGCAGCTCTTGGTCTGTCTGTGTCTTCCAGAGCTGTTCTGTGACTTTGTGTCTGACAAAAGTGACGCCAACAGAAAATGGGTTTTATAAACTGCAGATGGGAAAAGAACACATGTTCATACGGAAACGAAACTCGCGCTCCAGCAGCAGCAACAGATGTGGGAACCTGGTCCGGTCCAGATCATATATAGGCGTGATGATGGCACTCAGAGGCACACCTAATTTTATCTCTAAAATTATATATTATTATATAATATTATCTCTCTCAGTCATTATTTTACAACTTTGTAGTGTGAGACGTAAAGCAATGGATTGACATTGACTAATATTAAATACTGAATTTAAAATGTTGGTTAGCTGGGCATACTGATCTCTCAGTAATAGTAACCATTAAGTATTCAGTCAAGCCATAGTATAAATAGTATTTTAAATTTTAAAATGTATAAAAGTAAATCTGTGCAATCCAGTTTAAATGGGTCTGATGCAGATATTTTGAGACTTAAAGCTATAGTCACAGCATGTAGGCTTCTGTTTACTTTGTATTTACCTAATTACCATACAGCAGAGCCAAAGCTCAGTGTTATATTTTATTATTGCCTACAATTTCTTATTTATGTTGTTAAAATCCACTTAATACACTTTCTTTCTATTCTTAGAGTGACAGAAGCTATTGTAAAGGAGGGAGGATTGTAGTGGGAGGACTGGGGTGTCACGTATGACTGTGTGGCAAATAGTTTACATGGCTCACAGGTCAGGTTTGAGGGCACCATAGCAGAATTTTGCTTAGGGGCCCAGGGAGGTCAGGATCGACTCTGCAGACCAACAGGGGTGATGCTGGGAACAGGGAAAATGTTTTTATTATTATTATTGACATTATTGAGTTGTCTTCAAACACAAATAAAGCTGAAATTATCTGCATGGCCAGATACCCCTAGAATAAAGTGTGGAAATGTGTTTTAGCCATTTAGGTGAACTTTAAATCTTATAGAGTATGGGTTATTGACTGTATGGAGGCTACAGGGGCTTAGCTGTAAATATACCATATGGATACATTTTAAAGTAAACTGTAAATCAGGTGCAAGAACACAAAGTTGGAAATCGAACACCAACAGAAGAAGGGACTTGGTACTTTTTTGAATAACAAAAATTCCATTTCTCACTTTTTCATTTGGTTTCTTTGAAACAGATGCTGACATGTTCTGTTTCAGCAAACGCCCCTGTCAATTCTAATCATCCAGGTTGGATTTTCCGGGCGTGGGTTGCAGTGCTATTGGATTACTTTTGTATTGGGGTTATTATGAGAAACGACCTCAGGGCTGACTGCATGCGGTGACACCGAGGCTCTTATGACATTTCCAACCCAGAGCTGGCCAACAACACATCTGTCAAGGGCTCCTTTCTGCAACCTCGAAATCTAATCGGAGCTTTCTCATAGCACTGATAATTGGATATTAGGCCCCTACAGGACTCATATCCCCCTTTGGGGCCCCAGAAAGTAAACAAAGCACATATGAATTCAGCAGGACCATCGCATGTATATATGAACATGCATATGGGTATACACTTTATATTTTTTGTACACTTGTATGTGTGCTGCATTTCAATGGCCTTCTTGAACTGCGAGTCTCTTTCTCACTCCGCCTCCCGCTCGCTCTATGTCTTGGCCTGCTTCGCTGTTCACTGTTGTGTTAGTAAATTGTACTGACACTCCCTCCGCCTCCTCTCGCTCCCTCACCACCTCTGCTGCTCTCCCTCCCTCCCTGTCTCTCTCTCACCCGACTGACTGACACGAATTTTCAATCTCTCTGTTTACCTTTCACTGCTGTGCCTAAAACAACACTGGTACAGGCTAAGAGCAAGGAGGAGACTGGGTGGGGGGTGGTGGAGATGAAGCTGAGTACGACAAAGCGTCAGAGGAAGGAAAGAAAGAGGGAGGAGGATGAGGAGGAGAGGTGCCACTAAGATTGGATGGGAGTAGGAGAACGGGTGAGGGGGTGGGAGGTGGTGAGGGGATGCAAAAAACGAAAGAGGTGCAAAAAGAGAGAACAGGGCTTTCTCTGTGTTTTGGTTGGAGAGGAATCCAAGGGGGAATGAGGAGAGAGAAGGAGTGAGGGGTTAAGGGAAGGAGAAGAGGAGCTGATACTTTTGAGCAGTCACGCAAACTGAGCCAGCGGAGGGGACGGAGGAGAGGAGTAGAGAGGGGAGGGGGAGGAAAAGGAAATGAAAGGGTGGAAGAGAATGTAAGTCAGAGTTGAGAGAAAGAGTTAGATGGGGCACAGAACATTAGGAGTGCAATGAGATATAGAGAGTGAGGGGAGAGAGAGAGATTTATAGAGGTACAGAAAGAGGGAGAGGACAGCAAGAGTGATGTGTAGAGAGAGGTTTTTTTTTTTAAGAAGACGGCAGGGATGGAGGAAGAGAGGGAGGAGAGGGCGTGTGTAGAGAGAGAGAGAGAAAGAGAGAGAGAGCTCAGAATAGATACGCTCTCAACAGCATGAAATATTGAACGAAGGAGACCGAACACAGGGAGGGGTGAGGAAAATGGAGGGACTGATAAAGACAAATACAATCGTTTTGTGTGTGTGTGTGTGTGTGTGTGTGTGTGTGTGTGTGTGTTGTTTTGGAGACCGAGGAAGATGAGAGAGAAGAAGTGTAGATGACAGGAATATGAAGAATAGTTGCTAGTGGCTGGAGACTAACACACACACACACACACACACACACACACACACACACACACACTTGCGTTGCTTTGAGTTTAGATTACTGCCATGTGTGGAGGAGATGGAGCGGAATTTGGTGGTGTTGAAAATATCACACTGCAGAATACGTTTCATCACTACTTGCACCATCCCAACACACACTCACTCGCACGCATAGGCCTACCCCCCCCCTCCTTTGATCTCACTTCTCACTGATCTTCTCTCCTTCCATGTC